TTTCTACAAGCTGCCAAGCAGCCCTCATAGGTGATCTGTTTGCTCGTTAAGCCAGGAGTACTGTCACTCACCTAGTGAGGAGGTGTTCGTATATATATATATATATATATATATATATATATATATATATATATATATATATATATGAGTTGCCATTTCTCTCTCTCTCTCTCTCTTATGTTTTGGTCTGACCTTCAACTCCACTGGGTTGCCAGGTAGGCTGTTTTATTTTATAACGGTATATCGGCTCGGCATTAGTCGACACAGGCCGGGCTCCCCTCATGGACATAGCCCGGGCGAGGCTCAGCTTCGCATATCGGACTTTTCCTTATCTCTCTCTCTTTAGCCTCCGGGCTAGTACAGTGGTAACGTGTTGGCCTCACATCCAAGGGGTCGGCGGTTCACGAAGTTACTGTTGCGGCTAGGCACCACGGCGGGTAAGGACTAAGCCCAGACGAGTCTGCACCAGCTGATACACGTTAGAGAGTTGGCATTAGTCAACACAGGTCCGGGCGAGGCTCAGCTTCGTATATCGAACTTATCCTTCTCTCTCTCTCTCTCTCTCTCTCTCTCTCTCTCTCTATTTATCTATCTTCTGTTTTGGACTGACCTTTGTTGTGTTTGTACACACTTGTATATTCATCAGTACGTCATATACTGACATGTAATGTATAATTAATTGCTCTAAAAAATCTTTGAGGTAATTCCATATTCGTCGCCAACTTTATAGCGTTGGATCTTCTTGTAGCCTTCTGTATTAAGGTTAATTATATGCCTTCTTGTAACATGCTGCATCTTTACTTAAGATCTTGTATGGGAGGATTAATAGTCATCATACTTGTCGGTCGTAAATATATTGTTAGTAATACCCCAATACATAGTGTACAGCTAAATATGAACTTTATAAAAGAGTCATATAAAAGATTTATATACATAACACTTTCTTCCCCCCTTAAAGAAAGGACAATTCTGGCCCTTACAAGCGAACATAGTAGGGTGAACGAGTGTCTAAATATGATAGTCTTAGCTGATTTATGTCTCTTTTCAGATCTTTACCACCCACATTGACAATATAGTGTAGATTGCCTAGCCTTTCCGCAACACAGCCTTTAGACCATTTAGTATCTGAGGAGGTATATGTTCCTCGCATAACACTGTCTTCCACCTCAAACTCTCTCGTGCTTTCACCCATCCTTCCTGTTGTTTACCTTTTACAAAATCAGGTTTCATGTAGTCCAATCTACACCTAATCCTCCTCCCATCAATAAAAATGAAGGTGAACATCCCGTCGTTGCATGTGGTGTAGTTCTATGTGGCCCACCGAACAAAAGTACGGGCAATGTTCTTACAAGGTCTGCATGTAACTCTTCTAATACTTGCTTACGGAGTTTAGTGGGCACCTTGCTCCTCTCAATATACAACCTTTTTCTACTGAGAACTCGCCCAATGCATTTACAAAAGGGATGGCAGAGTGTCCTTACCAGATATTAGGCCTTGCAATACCTTTGAGAGTAATGGATCTTCCCTTGTGTATGATGCAATCTGCTGGGAAGTAATAAGTAGCTGATGAGCATCTATCGGCATAACACAAGCTACTTCCTGACCATTGGGTGCCCTATCCACTGGCAAACGAGACAGTGCATCCGAATTTCCCATATCCGTACTACTGACCATCTTTGTAATATAGCAGCTACAAATTTTGGTAATCCACATTTTGGACCCATAATATTCAACAATGGTTTATGATCTTTAACTGACGTGAACTGTTTCTTACCATAAAGATACATCTGGAACTTCTTCTTACCTTACCTCCTTCTTGGCTTCATTCCTACACACAGGTACAAAATGTCCGTTTTTTCTTGCCTGTACATATGCATTCTAAATCGTTCTCAATCAGGAATTTCTTATCCATATGTAACAATGTGTTATTCCCTCATACATACAATACACACACACACACACACACACACACACACACACACACACACACACACACACACACACACATATATATATATATATATATATATATATATATATACATATATATATATATAGAGAGAGAGAGAGAGAGGGATTTGTGTTTGTTTATGTGTGTGTGTGTTCGTATGTATATACACCATTCCTAATACATACACATAAACACAAATACCAACACAAATACTTGTCGGGGAATTTGAAAAAAAACATGATTCTTTGTCCTAAATTTATATTTAATGAAATAATACTACATGATGGTTTTATCTTAGGGAAGCAAGCTGCCGTCGAGAGGCGGTGCAAAGTAATCATTGTACTTCACATATACGTCGTGGCACCAGTCACTCTGGACGGTCAGGAGTTGTAGTTTGTTGCAAAGGTTATCATTTTCTTGCTGCAAATGTTGCAACTGATCTTCCGTATTTGAAGCAGCCTCTTTCTTTCTTTTCCGGTAGAGGGCCGATGCCTCGTTATTGAGTTCGCGGTTCCTTTCCTTTTGGAGAGATTTATCGTTCAGGTACTTCCGGGCGTGTCTGTGACGGTATCCCTTCCTTCCACCTACCGGGGGCGACGAGAAAGCGTCAGCGAACTCTGCTGTGCGCGTGCTGCTGCAAGAGTCTCCAGAGTCCAACAGCAAAGGACCGTCTGTCAGCTGAAGTCCTTGGTCCAGGCACGGTTCCTCGTCCCACAAGCCAAACAATCTCTGATCAAGAGAGGTTAAATTAGATGTAATTCTAGCCACGCGATAAGAGGCTCTCTATTGCATTGTTGGTAACAAAAAATATAAATTAGTGATTCAACTTACCTGATTATATCTTTCACAGTTTGTTGCTGTGGACATATTTTCCCCAACAGAATGGATATTCTTCTCCGGCTTATTTGAACAGGTCGGCTCAGCGCGTGCACTCTCAGCCCAGGGACTCGGTCCACCACTGTCACCGTCACACGTCAGATTGAAACAGCTGTTAGCAGGAGTCCACGAATCTTCGTTTAGGTTGTGGTTTGCCTCAGCCTGAGCCCCTAGGTTGAGGTCGCCATCAGCAGCAGACCACAGCCAGTCGTCTGGGTTGTAGTTTGCTACATCTCGAGACCTGAGGTTGAAACCGCCATCCGTTTCATCAGGCCACAAGCTCGGCGGCTCCTGACCGAAGTCTAGAGGCCCGTGAAGATCGAGGTCCTCGCCGAAGTTAGGCCGAAACGAGTCGGGAAGGATGGAGGTGACATACTCCTGAAGGGTAGAAGTCTCACTTCTCTCAAGCGTGCTATGTTGCATGTTTGCGTTTAACTCGCCACTTAAAGAGAGCCCAGACATTGTGAATCACAGACGCGTGTTTACAAATGGTATTTATCTTGGTACAGTGTTGGTAAAGGCTAGTGGAATTCGCCATGGATAGATGAGGTGGTAGCGTTGAATGTAACAAAAGTAGGTAAGCTGATGTGTATATATAGGCTGGATCAAGACTCTGGTACATATCAGGTTTCGA